CAGTATAAGTCATTATAATCAGTAATTATGTCCCCACTGGATGCAACAAATGCCTCGTTTATAATGGCTTTTATTGTAATACCAGTAATTTGTTGAGCGCAAACGTTAGTAAATCTCGTTGTGTGATTCATTCACTTTTCAGCGCTAATTCTTCACTGCGTGTCTTCAGTAAATCCTAACAGTACTATTTTAAAGGGGTCATCGGAGGCAAAATTCACTTTTACATGTTGTTTGAACATAAATGTGTGTTGGAAGTGTGTGTAGACATCCACTCTATAATGATAAAAATCCACCCAGTGCTTTTTTTTAAATCCCCAATATTAATAAGCACTTTCTCAGATCAGGTTGTTCTCAGATTCTTGGCAGAGTGACATAGTTCTGCACAGGCCCCTCCCACGATTGTTGATTGACAGTGGTGTTTTATCACAGCCCCGCCCTGAGTGAGCTGTCATCAGTCCGCCATGCCATTGTTTCGACGCTGGAGCGGTTGTAGACAAGATTGTCTCCTAAGAGATTTAGGTGTTCTGTTGTTGGATGTAATAATGAACATAGCAGTCATCATTTACTCCCGATATCTGAGCCGCTGAAGACGCAGTGGATTACGTTTATTTTTGATGGGAATGCGCCCCCGATCTAACTAAATGTGTCTATGTTCGCGCAAATCATTCGTGATCCAGCCTCACTTACAGAAGAAGTGAGTATAAGGGTTTTTTATGAATCTCTGCAAATTGCTTTTTCTAATAATGTGCTAGTTAGCCAGTTCCGCTGCTAAATGCAAAAGTTCACAGTCTCAGAGAACGGCTCGTCACCCCAAGGAAGAGAGGGGTGGGGTCAGCAGAGCTCATTAGCATTTAAAGGGACATGCACCGATGCGACTTGCTGTGAACAGCTGTTTTTGACAGGGTAAAAAGGGTGTTGTTTTACACTACCATAGAGAAATTTTAACCAAAGTATGTTATAGACTTTTCATTAAGACCCTAAAGAATCATATCAACTTATGGAAAATGGGCATCCGATGACCCTTTTAAGACATGCTTTTTTGGGCATTTAATAATGCCACAAATACCAGTAATTTGACGAGCGCAAGCATTAGTAAATTGCGTTGCATGATTCATTTGAATACTCTCCTCATAAATTTTGCGTCTGAGAGGGGAAAGTCCTATAAATGCATATTCAATAAGGTCAGGCACAAAAATAACTGTGTTCATGCTTTTCAGCGCTAAATCTTCACTGTGTGTCTTTAGTAAATCCTGACAGTACTATTTTAACACCAAAAGACGGTTTGTGCTGGTGCAAGCTGTTAGTAAAAGTTGTTTCTAAGCGACAAAAAAAAAATCAGATTTCCTTATTTTTTAGGTGATGTCAATGGAGAGGAAGCTGGATTTTCTGGTCAACATCTACATCCAGCGCATGGGCATCCCGCAGTCTGAGACAGATGCTTACTTCGCCTCTAAGGAGCCGGACCCGGCGCCGCCGTACCACAGTCCGGTGGAGCACATGGAGAAGAGCGGCTCCATCACCAAAATCATCCGCTCCAACAGCTCAGCAGGCCAGAAGAATTTTGACCCGCCGCCGTCGACCTGCGTCAACCACCACTGCCCGCCCTCCACATCTTGGCACCTTCATAGCCGCCCCGAACCTACGCAAGGAACGTCACCCATGGGCGACCCGTCGCTAGTGCGCATCCCGCCGCCTCCGGCCCATGAGCGCTCATCCGCCGGCCACAACGGAGGCTCTCGCGGGGCTGGACAGCATCATGCGTCGCAACGCGAAGATGGACGCCCGCTGGCTCTTTCCAAGCAGCAGGCCGGAGCCGAGAGCGACACGTCCATATCCATCCCCTCGGTGGACCACGAGGAACTGGAGCGCTCCTTCAGCGGCTTCAGCATCTCGCAGTCCAAAGAGAACCTGGACTTCCTCAACAACGCCTACTTCAGCGGTGTGTCGCACTGCACTAAAGTCAGGCCGTACATCGCAGAGGGCGAGTCGGACACGGACTCCGATCTGTGCGCCCCGTCGCCCCACTCCGCCACTGGAGACGGTGCCTATGCGGACAGAGGATGGTCCGGCCCGAAGTAAACCTCGTGAATCCGGGATTCGACCGTTGGCAAACGCACACCGGACTGCATTTGCGTGTTTAAAAAGCACCGTTTCTCTTCGGCTCCTCAGGCGGAAGAAACTGTGGAAATGGCAAGACACAGTGGAGATGCAATGCAGTGGCCGATCTTTACTTAATATCCTAATGATTTTTGGCATAAAAGAAAAATCTATAATTTTGACCCATACAATGTATTGTTGGCTATTGCTACAAATATACCTGTGCTACTTATGACTGCTTTTGTGCTCCAGGGTCACATATGTGGTGCGTTTGCGTCTTTAAGAACGTCTCACTGATTTCACATCGTCAGCTGGTTAAAGGGATCGTTCACTCAAAAATCTCACAAACATCCTGTCGTTATTTACTCACCCTCATGTCGCACCAAACAGTATGACTTGCTTTCTTCTGTGCAACACAAAAGAAGAAGTATTTTTCAAACAAGGACAGTTTTTGCATCTGTCAAGCTCCAAAAGGACCAAAACTACACAAAAGCATCATAAAAATATCATAAAGGTACATTTATGCATTTGGCAGATGCTTTTATCCAATGCAACATTGCATTCAAGTAGGGCTGCAGGATAATGGTTAAACAGTTAATCACAATTATACTGCTCAAAGAATACAGTCACGATTAATAATAATTTCATTTTATTTATTTACTTTTTACATTTAATCAAAATTATTGTACTCGGACATAAGCACAAACCAAGAGTACAACTCAGTTGTCACATGTCTACAAGAGTCAACTCACATAATTCCCATACAGCAAAAATAAGAAAAGAAAATCAAATAAAATGTTGAAATATATTTCAAAATATTAAAAAAATGTCCAAAAAGTTGCTAAAATATAACTTTATTAAAAGCATTTAAAAATATATTTTGCCCTCCATATATTTCAATCCATTCACATACAGTATATCACATTTGAAGAAAATTAAATACTGAATAAAGCCTAAATGTGACATTTGAAATGTATTTTCTTTCCCCTGTAATACATTTAGAAATATTTTGGTACACAAAATATATTTTCAATTTCAAAAATATCATTTTCAGTTTTTCAAAAATCATTAAGCTTCGCTGTTTACAACATATATTTAAAGCTTTGGCCTGAAAAAAAAAAATTTTTTTTTTTTTCTTTTTTTTTTACAAAAAAAAAAACACATAAAGATTAAATAAACCACCAGGCAAGAAATGTATCGATTTATGAAGAAAAGCTCTGATTGGCCTTTAACGTTTGTGGAAGCTTGTTACCAATGCAAGAAAGCAGAAATGACTAATTAAAATAAAATGTTTTCTGGATAAATAACCAGCAGACAAATATCACAAATGATTATGCTTAATAAATCGGGAGAAGCAGAAATCGTCATTACGATTAAAATACAATTCATTATGCAGCCCTACATTCAATACATGTTGTATAGTTTCTTGCTTTCCTGGGATTCGAACCCAAAACCTTAGCATTGCTACAGGAAGACTAGTTTATAAAAAGGTCGTTTATTTGACTTAGTACCATATTGCAAGTCTTCTGAAATTATAAAATCAGTGAAATATAAGTCGTTGTTTGATGATAAATGACATGAGGGTGAGTAAATAATGAGAGAATTGAGATTTTAGTGTGAACTATCGCTTTAAATCATGTCTCTGTAGTACCATGTCGTCCATGTTCGCTTGTGAATGTACTTCACGACAGCTTGTGAATTTTAAAACATCTCTAAACCAGGTCACTTAATGTTGATCACAGTATTCCCTTAATTAATTACCATGGTTAGGAAATTCACTTCAAGTACATATGAAATATAAAATATCACTTTCTCTCAAGTTTACAGTTTTTTTATTACTCCCTGAATTAATAATTTGCATGTCAATAAATTAGGAATATTTAGTAAGATTGTATATTTAAAGTTAATTTCATACTGCAGATTAACAGCTTCTTGAAATAATGATGAAAATAAGCCTATTTTCTGCCAATATTTTTCTTTTCTTAACGATACTAAACCTTCCAAAGCAATTTCTAAAACTATTTCTGTAACAACAAAAGTATCCGTTTAATAATATAATATGTCTGCTTGTTACGTCACGATCATTCGACATAAAAAATCATCTCATTTTCTAAAACATGCCATCAGAAAACATGAGGGCCAGATGTAGTATAAAGTTGAACATGAACTAATAATTTAGTTAGTTTGTTAGTTAATTGAATCTCACTCATGAAACAGGGATAAATACTCTTTTCAATGCACTAATTTACTGAGAACACATGAGAAATGCACCGTGTCGTTTTGCCTTGTTCTAATGTAATTGATGTTCTGTTGCCTTCTATAGTTTGTTTTATTGGTTGAAACCATACTGAACAAAAATGTCTGTATCGAGACCGGACAGCTGACCGGATTTAATGTATGTTTCCTGCAGAAATCATCCATACGTGTTAAACAGCACTTCACACATGCAGACTGCACATCTCCAAAGAGGATAGCTCGTTTACATCATCCGTCTTCCGTATCATTCGCCGCAGTCTTTCTCTAACGCTCCCTTTAATGCTTGTGCTGGACAGATGGGGGAGACCGGGGCTAGTTGTCACACGGTGACTTATTTATTTACAGACAAAATTCTAAAAGTCTTGATTACAAAACGCTGTTGCTCAGGAAAAAGAGTTAATTTACGTTCATGCATTTGGAAAATGCTTTTATCCGAGGAGAATTACATTGCATGCAAGGTTTACGTTTTATCAATTCATGCATTTGCTGAAAAATCAAACTTATGAAAACAATTGGTGTAGAATTGAACACTTTTCACTCAGAAATTGCTAGTAAATTTCACAATAATTGGCAAGTTGCATTGAATTAAATGTGACATTTGGAAGTAGAAAGACTGAAAAAGTATTCTCTTGTAAAACATACTCCAATAACAGCACTTGAAAAATCATTTTTACAGTGTATATGGGGCATGTTGTGACACTACTACAAAGGGAACCTCCTTCTGATAGTGATGTTAAAAATACATTTGTTTGAAATATGTAATACTATCTAAATAAAAAAAAACACAGCAACAAACCAACAAACACAAAAATAGCTAGAGAAAAACCATTGGTGTGTAGGCTATTTTCACTTTTTACTTAAAACCCTTTTTGCCATGTGACAACTAGCCCCGGCCTCCCCGATTTGAATGCAAAATGCTTAAAATTCAGCAAAAGCAGCAGAATTAAGTACTGGATTAATATAACATACAATAATTACATAATGTACAGTCAGAATACTGTGGTAAATGACCACTGAACATCATTTACCCTAACAGAGACATATAGATGTAAGTCATTGGTTCAGTTGGGTCATGTGGCAGTTCTGAAGCTGAAAATCACTTACAAAAAAGTACTACGTCAATACCCTGGTATTCTTTGAAGTACCTTGGCGTACCCTCATATGGTATTCTTTGCCGTAACTGTACTACGGTAACACCACAGTACTTGTTTGTAAGGGACAGTTGAGTTCTGCACATTCAGTCCCAGTGAATCTGTAACAGTGGTTTGAGTTGAACATCGTCACAGCTGCCTTGCTTGATTTCACTTTGTTTTCCAAAGAATCTACTGTATTTTGCTAAATTGCCTTTGGTATCTTTTATAACGCTGTCGGTTTTGTTCCTGTTGTGTGTAAATGTTTACTGGAGGTCAGTTTGGTCCTGAAATGCTTGTGAATGTATTTCTAAATGCTGTCATTTTGTTTTCACTGTACAGACTCCCAACTTTCACATACTTTGTAGATCTACACAAACAGCTTCTGTGGCGCGAGAATCTGTCAGACAGGTTTGCGATATCTGAAAGGACGAGTAAACAAGTAAATCTTTGCTTTAGATGCATTTGTTAACTGCATATGTGGTATTAGTGATTCTGCACTACTAGGATTTTTAATTAGTTTAACCAGCAGGACTCACGCGGTCAGTTAGCATCACCAGAATGGCCAGCACTAACCAGCATACACTTGGCTGGGAAAAGTCATGGTCTTTTTAACAAAAAAGTTGCTAGTCTTGCTTTTACTCCCAAAAGGTAATCAAGATGACCAAAAGTTTTGCATTTTGAATGTTAAACGCTTGTTTGAGGAAGAAATCTTAGCTTGGCACTTCTCAGAAACCAGGTTGACCGCATTATTCGTCATCTATGGAAGCCCGTTTCTGCCATGAAATAAAAAATTAGAAAGGTAATTGTGACTTTTTATTTCATAATTCTGATTTTATATCTCATAATTTTTTGTTTATTATGAGTTTATATTTCATATTTCTGAGTTTATATCTCATAATTCTGAGTTTTATATCTTATAATTCTGAGTTTGTCTCATAATCCTGAGTTTATATCTCATAATTCTGCGTTTATCTTGTAATTCTGAGTTTATATCTCATAATTCTGAGGTTATATCTCGCGATTCTGAGTTGTTTATATCTCATAATTCTGAGTTTATCTTGTAATTCTGAGTTTGTCTCGTAATTCTGAGTTTGAATTTATATCTCATAATTCTGAGGTTATATCTCGCAATTCTGAGTTGAGTTTATATCTCATAATTCTGAGTTTATATAAAATAAATTGAGTTTCTATCTCATAATTCTGAGTTTAAATCTAACAATTTGAGTTTCTATCTCATAATTCTGAGTTTAAATCTAACAATTTGAGTTTATATCATAATTCTGAGTTTAAATCTAACAATTTGAGTTTATATCTCATAATTCTCATTATATCTTGTAGAGCTGCATTACTTTTCTTATCTTTAAAGCCCATGTTAAGTATGAAGGCATAAATATGAGATGTTTGTTCACGTTTTTAAGTCTATGAGTACCAGAGGTATTATTATTATCATTAAATTATTATCTTTACTGTAGTACAGATGCATTATAATGCTGGAATGAAGATGTGCTATTTATAGCATGTAAATAACTATCAACACTAATGATATTATTTAATGTGATGGTTATGTTTTGTATCATATTTTTAAACATTTGT